TTCTCTCTTTCAAATTTAAGAAGTTTCTTTACGTTTAAAGGAAGGATAATAAACCAAGATGATTTTACAATTTTCATATATCTCCCTATCTCCAAATGTGAAGAAGATTAATTAAGCTTTCTATTCTTATTCAAACCCTGATGTATTTCCAAAGTCCCTTCTCAAAGTGCGAAATTTTATGATTTAATACCCAGCGATTTCGGCGGTCTGACTGGTGATCAAACAACGCACGCTGGCGCTGTTTAATCAGTTAGTCAGCCGGCCAGTTATTACTTATATATAAATTGCATATATATAATGTAACAACAATTTAATTTGCAAACTAACCCTGCTTTTTTAATGTGCTTCTTGAAATTTTATACTATACTGAATAAGGAATTGTGTCTTATGATTATGACCGCCCTTGATACTTATTAATTTATTTTTTAATAAATAAGCTTACCAACTAAAAAATGATGTCTCTACTTTTTGGTTTGAAAGTTAAGTATTGAATTCAATGACATGAATAGGCATAAAATGTCACCCCTGCTTCCCAACGGGTTGGGTAAAGACAATTTATTGATCTCCGATTGCTAGTATACAGACACACCAAAATGCTTTTCTCTTTTTCGTCACGATTCACGGGTATTTACGTCTATTCATGTTCGTGTCTTCATGAAAAGGGAAAAATAATAAAATTTCTCGACTTACCTAAATTAAATAGATTTTAGCTATATAATTTATATTTTTAATTCATGCATTTAACTGCTTCATTTTTATATCTACAGAAAGGTATATATGTTTACATCATGAAAGGAAAGGAAGACTTTTCCCCCTAAATATGAAAAAATTGCAACCAACTACGTAAAAGCGGATTTTCCGATAGAATTGGAGTGCTCGTCCGGGGAAGTTACCTGCAACTGACAGAAGATCACAGTAAAATTACACTTCATTTGGTGCTGTTGTGTTTCTGTAGGGGAGTAAGGATCCAGAGCTCCACGGAGTAGGGAATTGGGTCAGGGTAGACCATCGCGAGTGCTATTGTTGGCATCGCATCGCAAGCGCCTATAGGCTACGGTGGCCGCTTACCTTCGGAAGGGCCATGTGTGTCACCCTTTAAACATTAAATAAATATGAGGCCATGAGAACCATAGTGGCTTAACTATTTTTTTTACAATATTGAGTTTATGATTTTTTCCAGTTCAAATTGATAATTTTGATAAAACCAGAGTGGTCTAAAAGTGATACAACGAATATTCACTAGATGGCAGTATAATCACTGTTACTGTTTTTAGTCTGTGATCTAAATTTGAGGTGCCACACTGGCCTAAGTAAGATAGGCCACTATGGTTAAAAAATGAGTTAGGCCACTATTATCTCATGGCCTCATATAATATACCAACTATGGTAATTTAATTATACTTGTGACATAATTTCTTTCTACTTTTTTTTTGATAACTTGATGAATAAAATATTTATACATCACAATTTAATCATCAACAGGCATTGCTAAGCTATATTAAAATGATGGTAACACTGCTTTTATATTTATTCAGTCAAATATATAACACTGTAATAAATCAGAATAACATTCAAAAACAAAAAAGGAAATTCATACAATGGGTAGGTGTCTGGTACAGGCCCTTGTTAAAAATCTTTTTATTATCGCTGTTTCAACTGGCTTGGCTTCTGTGTGAAAGGATATAAAAAGATAGACAAGAATTATCATGAACAAATGGACAAGTGAAATAAAAAGGTTTTTGTTGTTTACACCGTTCCATTTCATCTAAAAGCACCCATTTCGTCTTCCGGATTAGGCTGCCACGTTTTGTTCGTATAACGTATTTAAGTTAACACAGCAGCAGCTTTCTATCGGCTGTGCATAACTGTCAAAGTTATCTAATTTTCAACTTAATTGGTTCTATTCAAAGTTTAAAAGCCCTCGCAGAGTTTTGATTTTATAGGACAGACAAAGAGATTTAATAATATGGGTAGGTCCAATTTTGCCACTTTTTTTTAATAAAAAGTAAACCTTGCATATTGTCCTCCTATTTTATTTATTTCCAGCTGAAATATTTTAAAACGACTTCAAAAAAGGAGGAGATTAGAGTAGCATTATAACTAAGGATACATATTTAGTTTACATTGTAGCTATTGGAATAATTTTATTTTAAAAATAATTTAAATATGTTGATGACGTAAAAGTTTCATATAAAAAGTTGTTATTCTAAAAGTGAGATCCAAAAACAATCGACTATGCAACCGATATTGTAAAAAGTTTGATATAAACTGATACACTTATGGGAAGTTAACAAAAACAAAGAAGAACTAAGTAAAGTTTTGTTACTTAATTCATCATGACACTTGAGTTCAAGGATCACTTGTTTATTTCTTTTCGTAGTTATAAAAAACATCTCCAGTTTTAATACTTTTATGTTACGTTTTTATGTTACCAGTGTTGCGCGTAATATAAGTTTTTATGAAACACTGGAGTGATTGCTTGAATTAGGTGGGTAATCCCAAACAGCTATATTAGAAAAAAAGAAAGAAATGCCATTTTGTTGTCTTTGGAACGTGCAAAATCCGCACGCGTGAATTTCGTCAGCTGGAATAATATGTTTTTTTTGGAATTTTACCTACTACCTACATATATTATTATATGTAGGTACTTACTTTAATGCCTTTGATTCTGTATATGCAAGTACGTTTTGCTTAGAGATAGTTTACAACGTTGATAGATACCAACCTTTTTTGTTTGTGGCTTTTTCCGTTTTCCTAAAAAAATGCAGCAATAAACTGCAAAGATCCTGCCTTTTTCCTGCCAGTTGCATTGAGCAATATCATCGATATTGTCTCAGTATCCGCGTTTTCTCGTAATCCCTTGGATTTTCGAATCGAAAATTCGATTTAATAAATCATCCTATGACATGTACAAAGAAAAATATAAGGCTAAGAACTCACGGAGCGATTTCTACCGTCGTGGCTGCAGGACCGCGACCGTTTACAATCTGAAATTGTAGGTTATACACAATAGCAATTCTATGACACGATTTAAGTCCGCTGAGTGCGCGGTTGCTTGCGGCACCCGCAGCACGAGCAGGCAGGCGTACGCGGCAGGTTTAGTTCGATCTTCTCTTGTTTAATTTACGAGCGATCTTGTAACCGCGGCGCAGACGAGTGGCTGCGGAACCGCAATAAATACGACCTCGTGAGTTTCAAAACTCACGAGATTTCAAAATAGGACAGCTCTCCCGTGGCAAGTTTATATAGTCACTCAAAACCATGGGAAGTGACTTATTGAATCGCGGTGAGATTAACATAATACAGTATTTCGTTATATATATTGACGTTACTTGTATTATTTATACTATACCTGCCCGGACAGTGCTTTATTCTTTTTTAAAAAATGAAGTAGAATGTACGTTAATCCTTTTGTACTCATATGTGGGCGGAAAAACGCGTGGAAATCCATTGATAATGTGTTTGTTTAGTTCTGTGTGCAAATATTAACAGTGACGCTGAAGTATTGTATAGTATAAGTAAGTAAGATCAATGTTCATCACTCCTGTGGCATCTTAAGTCCAGCCTTTTGACCTACGCTCAAATCTGTCATTGTTCCTATCTCATACTTAATAACATTTATATCTATATAAATTAAATTTTACTGGAAGTAAAATCGACTCTGTCCAGGAGGTCTACTCTCTTCTCCGAAACGAAATTTCAGTAACGAACGAATTTAAACGAAATTTCGCCAGTGACTACTCTATGTAGAAAATGAAAAGGCAACACTTTAAAATTTTGAACAGTTATCTGTCGAATTCAAATTTTCTTTTTGAAAGTTTTGTGAATTAGAGTAGCTTGTACCTTGGAGAATTTAACTGTCAAACGATTTTCGGGCAATAGAATTTTCATAATTAAAAGGGAACAGAGTAAGGAACGATCGAAACGTCAAACAAATTTCGTTTTTCTTTAAAATTCTATTTAGAATGAAGGATTCCAGGTTTCTGATGTAATTTGAACCCGCATCTACCGCTATAACGGCGGAGATTTAAACATCTAGCAGTTAAATGCTTAAAATTAATTTGTATGATTTTAATTGTATGATTTGGGATGTTAAAGTTTTAAACGCTCATCCTGAAAAAAATTTTTTTGCATAAGTGACAGTGTCGCACCGGAGGTGCGATATGTATATAATAATATACCTAATATAAATATCATATATAATTTTTAGCTTTGGTAAAATAACGCAAATTTTATGAAATTTTGGAAACTATGATATTATATTAAATATAGTAGTAACCGGAACAAGTGTCTGCAATTAAGTTTTTCTATATAAAAAATATATATATTTTAAGATATCAAAACGGCAGACATGCTGCGATCACCTTTTGAAAGTCGATTTTCTTGCTTTTCGACTTCACGGTACCGCCTAAAGGAACCCTCTATGGGAATAGTGAACCACCATTTGATCTACGGCAGATGAATTAGTATAACTAGCACTAATATGAAGTTTGCTACTATACCGTAAGTCTGCGGATCACTGGCTCTTAGACTATAACGCACACAAGAAAATGAATTCGGCACGCATTACCGCTCTTGTTTTATTATTATAAGTTCAGGGTGCAGTTTGAGCTTCCGCAGTTTTGTAGTGCTTCGGCAAAGTTCGCGGATGCTCGTGTGGATGGTTTCCATGCAATACTGCGTAATCGTTCCGCATCATTGTTGCAAAACGTGCGTGCTAATTTTAAAGTTTTAAATATATCTAAGAACTTTAACATTATTTATGATGCAAACTTGTAAAGCTATACAACCAATCAAATATTTGATACACATAAAACTTACGACAAATAATAATAATAATAATTAGTTGTTTAAAGCTTATTTTTAAACTCTCTAAAGTTTAAAAATGAGTTAACGTTATTGTTTTAACAAATAATGCTTGTCTAAGTCCCAAACAATCATTTCACCAGACTTTTAAATAGAAGTTTTCGATAATTTTTACTTACACGTGTACGTTATAGGGGTGGCGAACAGAAGTTGCAGTGTCAGAATACCTCGTCAAGTGTCTGAAGACAAGAGAGGCTATCTTGAAGACCGCAGGCCCGCTGCCAACGCCGACCCTTACAGAGTGATATGTATAATGCTACGTACTTGTATATTCGACGAGTAATCTAGACCACAAGTTTGATGTTTTCGAATTGTTTATTATTCTTTGTTACAAATTCAATTACGGCCATCTATAATAACACAAACTTCAGTAAAATATATGCTTAGAAGGGCATGCGCACACCACGTTTTTAAACGTCCCTTTATAGTGCAGTGCAGTTTGTTGCCGTTTGTATTGATACGCGTATTAGCATTGCGATTGAATAGATGCAAACGCGTGATACCGGCGCATCTGTGTCGATGCACATCACGTTTTTAAAATCCGCCGTTTCGCCGCGCGTTTTAGAAACGTGCGTCGGCACGCGTCGCTCTTTTATGCTACAGAACAGTTTGTTTTCGTCTGTATCGCTTAACACGCCTCTGTATCGATTTAAACGCAACTGACTCGCGTGCGGTGCGTTCATATCTGTATCGCCACAAACGCGCGTCAACGACGCGTTTATTAAACATGGCGTGCACAGGCCCTTAGCTGTGCTAGATATTTTATTATAATAACTATTAATTAGATTATAATAGCAGCAGTTGCTAAGAAATGGAATCAGATTATCCTTACCTTTTGCTGGAGGATGATTAATATATTTAAGCTGGCCGTTAATCTACTATTATCTTTGGGAACCCATAATTGTTGAACATTGGAAGCTAAATTCAGCGGTAGTATAATTGGTAACGTAATCGTCGATTAATTGATATCTGGAATTCAGGGACTGCTATAGGTAACTATATTATGCCGATAAATTGTTTCGTTCCGATTTCAGTTATTGAATTATTTAGGTATTATTTTTCTGATTGTGCCTGTTAATCCCAATAAATTACTTCTGAGATAAATCCGGTGTTTGCATTCATGTGATTGTATTTTCGTCTCAGGATTATTTAACAAGAAACATAATAATAGTCCACTGCTGGACCAAGATAGGCTGTTGGTGATGATGATGAAAATAATAGAATTTTGATTATTTTTTATTAGTGTTCTGTAAGATCATATTAGAGATACGTCGGTTACAGGGTAAAGAAAACTAAATTCTATTTAGCCCGTCAGTCAGATTATCAATAAATCGTATTTTGCTTTTGTCAATCAACCAAAAAAATACAAAGATAATGTGCATCAAAGTTTGGGCGTCGGAGCTCGTGAAGTCACTTCTAAGTAAAAACTGTACCAAGGCGTGACGTCATGCGACATTTCAAATCAATATATCTCTGTTGTGCTTCGATTCAATCCTGTCCAATATTTTTTGATAATCTACCTGATAGACGAAGGAAAAAATATTTTGTCAGCATTCTAATAATATTATAGTAAAAATGATTTGGCAATTTTAATTGTACTTCTTTTTTAGTAATAATCATAATCCTCGGGACTATTTATATGAAATATCCCCACAGCTAAGACGCAGGTCATCCCTATGAACAGAAAAGGGATAACAGGCCATAATTCACAACGCGGATCATATGAGGATTGTAAGGTGTTAACGTCTTCCTATTTAACGGTTTAACGAATCTTAGTGCACGACGTATTCTTATTTTAAGTAGAAATGGCTGTAAACAAATATATAGATCACCTGATGGTAAGTGGCCACCATATCAAATACACTTGCGATATCACATGATTACACGCTTTGCCTAACCTGATCCCATTCCCTTCCTCTTGGGGCCCCTTTTTTCTAGGATAGCGGTGCCGTCATATAGCGGTCGTAACATTACGGACGCAATAAGCCAGTCGTCTTTACAGTGACTACATGTGTAATGGTCCATGGCCGCTTTTTTTGGTTACCGTACGGAATCTATTAAAATTTGATTCGGGTCAAAAAACACAAATACGGTAATATAATTATAAAAATTACTTCGATACCACTACCACTGCTATCAATAAAACATAAAACGTTCACAAACCATCCGACATTGATAAGACGGCAGCCATGCAAATGGCGGCACCGCTTGTTTACGTAACGGTGTCAATTACTGCTCTCTAGGATATCGCGCCATTTTGTAGACAACGTTCTGGTGACATCATTAACCGCTGTCTACGCGATGCCATTATATCATAGAAAAACCAAATTATAGCGATAGAAAAGCAACACCACCAAAAAATCTATGTGTAACAAAATTTATGCTGTTATCGCATTCGTCGGTCGTGCGCGAGGTCGATCTTGCGTAGTACAAGGAAACAACAGTTGCCTATACAGCCCCCCGCGTGAGCTACATTTCCGATCACGCCATGGAGCAAGTATTGGCTTCATGGTTCACGCCTATTCCAAAGGTACTTGGGCTCTAGACTTCACATTCTTCGGAAACAAAAATCACATGAACAAAGGTTCATGCGATTCAACTGCTATCTTCAAAAATATATAAGTTTTAGAAAAAATATTATTACCAGTAAAACATAATTATCTAAAAATACAATACACTTTGGTTACGTAATTTTCTTCTATGCATATGTCTCTATATTCATCTATTGCAAAGATAACACTGGACAATCATTATGCTGAAAACTAAGAACACTGACATGAGAGTCGTATAGTAAGGCGGCAAAGTAGGGCGAACCAAATATTTGGCAAATCAAAAAAACTGTTTAGTCTCGTCTTTAAGGGAGGATTTTTATAATTGACATTCATCATAACTACAAATCGTAGTGAAATGTCAATAGTTTTTTTTGATTTGCCAAATATTTGGTTCGCCCTACTTTGCCGCCTTTGATACTATACGACTCATGAAACAGATCTATTTCTATTGAAGTTAATTATACAGTTACTATTTATCGGTTCACAGCATGGATCATGTTCTTTTTGTTCACAAGATGATTTTGGTTTGGAGTAATAAAATTAGATTGATACATCCTTTTGTTCAAAGCAGAGCGGCAAGATGCTTACAATCGATCCCAAGTCGTTTCCGTTGGACATTGTTCAAGCTTTATTGGATTTGGAAAAGACTCGATGGCTCTATGTATGCTGCGTTTATAAGAACATCTCTTTAATATCAAAAAGGTTTAGACCTTTGTAAATTAATAGTAAAATATAAGTGTTATAAAGTGTATTAATAAGAGCAATGGAAAGATAAAGATCTCGGATGAGCTACAGACTGTTGAAGGCTCTAGGCGTTTAGCCGGGTATATGGGTGGTATTATCAGCTGTAATTTTATTCAAAATTATTTCGTGCGCGCATGTACAAGTTGATGCCAACAGTATCTATAATGTTATTTTTATCTGGAGTTCATCGGTAACATCTTAAGTCATATGTTAAATTTAAATTTACAGTATTTTCTTGAAAGGATTCACTATACCGCAGTCAAGTAAATAATAAACCCTATTAATCTCTAATTATATCATCAGCAGTTTATCAGGTCTCCCGATTTTGCAGATCTCCTGTTTTTCTGAAATTTCTCCTGTTCTACTGTTTCTACAGTTTCTCTTAGAATACGGTTTTCTTTTTTTTTATAGGTAGGTCCAACAAATGACTCCACCCCACCTGATGTTAAGTGATGGTGAAGTCCAGACGTGAAGATAGCTGGTAAAGCAGTTCTACCTGCCACACCAGCCATCCTCACCTTGCCGGCCTGAATGTTGCTTCTTCACGCCTCTTTTAAAGGATCCCAGGCTGTAAGAAGGAGGGAACACGTGAGCAGGCAAAGCATTCCATTTACGGATAGTGCGACAAAGAAATGAGTCACCAAATTTCTTTGTACGCGTTGGAATTGTGGCCACAGTTAGACGGTGACACCGAAGGCCAGCGCGCGTGGTCCTCTGAAGGAAAGGGGAAGGTGGAATAAGAGAGAATAACTCTTCAGAACACTCGCCGTAGTACAGACGAATGCTAATTGCATGTTGCATTGCATTTACCGCCATTAATAATGTAGGCAAAAAATGGATTCGAATAAATGTAATGCAGTTCTACTTTAAATAAAAGCCGGTTAGTGATATTTCAATGTTATCTCAAACTCTTTGTTAATATTTTGAGGGGCTTTCTAAGGATCTCAGTTTTTACTTACAGAGGGATCCTGATAACCTTGCCTGACCCTCATATGGTAAGACAAAAAAACCGCCGAGTAAAAAAGGTTTCTTGTAGCGTAAAAACCAGTCGGTCAGGATTTCGCCTCTGGTGTATGTTTTTGTCATCTATACAGATTTATTGAATTTTCTGTCTGTCAAATTCGTCTACAGCCCTCTTTCTCCGATTTCTTCTCTAAAGTAAGATCGTAAATTGGCACAGTAATCGTCGTATTTATAAACAATTATTATGTTTGGTTAAAATTTGTCAATTGAACAAAAATATTCATTACATAGAGAAAATCGATCTGAGTAAGAACTGTCAAAAATAAGATTTTTTAACATTTTTATTGGGTTTCATATGCCTTTAATTAACAATTATAATTATTTTTATTAACCAAGTTATAGTAACTATTTTCAATAGTCACCATCATAACCATGTACAAATTTATTTTCATTTTTGTACATTATTTCTAATGACCCATTGGAAGAAGTTCTAAATAAAACCTCCGTATTAACGTTAATAATTCAACCCCCACTTAAGCATTTGTTGGCTTAAGTAACATATAGTACTTGTTTATAAAAGTATTTTTTTAATGAAAAATTCTAGTCTGAAGTAATGACTTGGTTACTTACGTAATTACTTGTTTATAAATGCGAATGTAAGAAAGTTTCAAATAAACAAATAAAAGGACAATGTTAAAATTGGCCTAAGAACCAACACCAATTTGGCATTTATGATAATTCTTAATATCTTTTTTGGCATAATTATCAGGATTTAGATTGTGACGGACACTTCCAGTTCAGTAAGCTAAATTAAAAAGTTAAAAAATAATCTGAGACAGTAAATACCATTTTATGTGTATAATCTATGACAAACGCTGCAAACAAAACACTCTTTCTTCCTAATGCCGGCACTTCACTTGGCTATTCGTATTTGCTATTTTATAACATGACATCAGTCTGTCCTTTTCATTCCTTATCAAGCATGACAAGGACAAACTGTTGTCAAGTGAAGGGCCGGCATAAAACTCGATACTCTGTGGTTGTGGTGCAAGCAGGCAGTTTGCATTCGTAGTAATCTGTGGCATTCGTGCATTCCAAAGAGTAGTTTAATATACAGGAAAGTGCCAAAGTGAATTCTCGTTTCGGATTACCTGTTGTGTGTGTTTATTTGCGATTGTTTTTCCTTTAATTTAACTATTTCGGCTATCTAATATGCCATCGATGTTACCAAAGAGCAGAGAACTTATTACCAAGTGCTAGTGAACCTGTGCCACCACATCCTGAGAGGATCATACTGCCAAATTATTCAAGAACACCTGATACACCTTCACGCTGCATATTTACACAATATACATGTGATATATAAATAAATACCATATACAATATGATACAATTATGTGAAAAATAGTCAATAAATAAGAAGCAAAACTACAGTTTTTATTTTATTCATGGTTCCTACCTATCCAAGGTTTTCCTAATAGTTATTCTTTAAAATCGCACCGGATGAATGAAAAAAAAAATGAATTAGTTGTAATATTAATTCACTTCATACTAAGTTCATAGGTTGACCTATGTTTCATTGAATATTAAACATAACCTCAAAAAACATTTAGTTTTCCTAATAATTTAAGTTCTCAGAAGTGTCCGTCAATAATCTTTGATTTTACAGTCATTTACTTACGATTTCGAACCTAGAAAATAATATTTCATGATTGTTGGTTCTTAGGCTAACTATGTATGGACGCTGAACAATGTCCTTTACTGCGGAAATGAAATTATTCTGTAATAATATAAGATTTAAGGAGTTTGATGGCGCAGATGGTTAGCTGGTTCGGACTGCGATCGTGGAAGTTAAGCAACTTTCGCAATGGTGGGTCATTGGACGGGTGACCAAAAACTTATATTCATGAGCTCTTCCATGCTTCGGAAGGCACGTTAAGCCGTTGATCGAAAACTGTAGAAACAGTAGAACAGGAGAAATTTCAGAAAAACAGGAGGTCTCCCGATTTTTCAGATCCTGTTTTTCTGAAATTTCTCCTGTTCTACTGTTTCTACAGTTTTTCTTAGAATACGGTTTTCTTTTTTTTATAGGTAGGTCCGACAAATGATACATAGCCAATGAGTTGGTCAGTAAAAGGTCGTATGTACGAAATAACATTGCGTTATTTGTAATTTTATTCTTTTGTGACATGGTTGTTTATATGAGGTTCAACTTAAACTGTTTTAAAACATTTGTCTTTGTTTATTGAAAATCGAATGCAGCTGCATAAGTATATACTCTCGCCGACAGTTTTTAGCTTTGATTTTGTATGCAACCCTTTAACTATAGAATTGTTGATCGAAGTTTATTTCAGTCTCTAATCTCAGATACCTATAGAGTCTGTGCGGAAAGAGAATGGGATTTAGATTGGAGGGTGCTGTAGTGCATTTCTACCGTATTTGTAAGGTTTTACCACCTTTTAGACATGATTAAATACAAAAAACCGCATGAAATCACAACAACAAACAAATCCGTATCAATACAAAACTTTGACGTTTTACAGATTGCTGGGTTTGTTTGCCAAATAAAAATCTTAATGTTAGTTCCATTTTTCGCCACGCCCATTCTCTATCCGCACAGACTCTAACATGAAATTACCTAATTTTAAAATCTGTGTTCCATTAGGCAAATAGAAGATTTAAAAAAATAGACAATTTAAAGCCTCTAATTCTCAGTGTTTTTTTTTAATTATTTCAGCGTACCACACGTACTTTGCATTTATAAAAACACTTATTTTTCATACTTTTGCACTATCGCGAATTTTTGCCGTTTTGGCGACGCATTTAACCAAACAATAGTGACATTTCAGACCGTGTCCTGTTAAGTGAATATTGCTTGGCCCGACTTATCTTGAAAACGGAAAATGTTCGCAATAGCGACAGTGTGGCCGTAGCAATAAATTCTAGACTGACTCACAATAATAATAGTAATAGTATCAAGTATCAAGCTAAACAGAACTTCTATTAAGAATATAGTATCAAGCTACATAGAGCTTGTATTAAGAAAATAAAATAAACAAATACTTGTGCTCATCACACAAATAAATGCCCCTACAGTGATACAAACTCAGGACCAACGGACCGTATCTTTCTTGCGTTAATTTATTGAGGAATTAAAAAGAAGAGATACCACAGTTTTATTAACATTATTTATTTTGCTTAATTATGTCTACAAACTTAAAGTAACCTAAGAACTAATAATGAAATGGTAATGTTTTGTTTACACTTTGTCTTCATACGCTATGTCTGTAAATTCGACGATGTTGCTGTTCGGGAATATATACAACTCACCGACTCTGTCATCTCCAATGGGGATTTCGTTCCCATTAGGAAGGGCCTTACTCAATCTTCTTTTACTCGTTCCTTCATTACTCGAGAACCTTCTACCATCGTTTGAAGTATGGTATTCACCTGGTTTAAGATATTGAAATCCGTTATCTTGATAGTTGTTTTGGTTCCGTAAACAATTACAAGACTCCCTGGTGGAGCTTTTAATACTGTCCATTTGAGTGAGGTTAATTGATTTTCTGGCGGTGTACACGCTCCTGTCGTTCGTTGAACGAAATGAGAGAATTCGCGTTCTATACGATTGGCCATCCTGAAACAAGAAACGTAAATCGGATTCATTAAAGGCCATATTTAGAGACATCAACTAATGTGACTTTTGATGGAGTATTCAACAAATTTATTTATTTAATGACCTCCGTGGGGGAGTGCTTTGTAGGCCGGGTTTCATGGTGTCGCCGACTCGAGAGGTCCCGGGTTCGAAATCTGGTGGGGCCAGATGTTTGTGTGACGAATACGAGCATTTGTCCTCAAGTCATGGATGTTTAATATGTATTCCTATGTAAATATATTTATATATGTACAGTATATGTATTATATCCGTTACCCTAGTATACCATAACATTAGCCTTATAGTGATTACTTTGCTAGGCTAATTGGTGTGAGTGTTGGAAATATTTATTTATTATTTATTAATTTGACGTTTCTACTTAGAAACGTATAGTTCTTCGTATCTTGGTATAAACCTGCCAAATAATAATTATTATTCATTTCAGGCGTATTACCTATAGAACATACAGAGATAGAAAAAAAAGAAGTGCGAGTCCGACTCGCCCACGAGGCCTCCGTAGAAATTGGTGTTTTTATACGTGAAATTATTGTTTCAGTAACAGTCCATATTATCTTAATTTAGGTACCTACACATTAAGAGGGAAATGGTATTCATTATTTACTATTCTTTGTGATTCATGATACACAGACGGACAGACCGGCCGTCATCAACTTCATCAGGTCATCTTTTTTTCATATTAACTTAGAAGTTTATTTTATTACATCAAGGGACCGTAGACCAGAGTATATGGTTTAAATGTTTAATTCAATACCTCCACTCTTTCCTGAGAAAAAGGGTCTTGACAGATACAGATAGGTGGACAAAAAAAGTGGTTCTATAAAAGTTCTATTTTTCCCTTTTCCACTGTAGGCTGTAGTTGCTGCTGTTTAGTTTAGCTTTTAGTTTGTAGTATATTTATATAGAAATACATAGTAAACATCCATGACTGGAGTACAAGTGCTCGTATACATTACACAAACATCTGCCCCCACCGGGATTCGACCCCGGGACCTCTCGAGTCGGCGACACCATGAAACCCGGCGTACAAACCACTCGGCCATGGAGGTCGTCAAATAATTAAATACAAGTTAATTATTTAACTTTTTTTTCCAGCGATCTGTTCTATAACTTTTGTCTTGAGTTGTGATTTACTTCTTCTTTTTAACTCTCAGGAAGAAAGTCCATTGACTTCTGCACCACGCATCTGTGTGCTGTCCTGTCCATGTTGTTCTGTCTATCGATGAGGCTAAGGGGCGCCCGCCGCCGAAGCCTCTTGAAACAGTCGCCAATGCTAATGAGGCACGATGCCATTTCATTAGGGTGTAATTTAATTAAAAAGTAAACGTAACTTATAAAATAGTTTACCTCGTAACTGTCATTGGCAAATCTATTTGGCTTTTTCCCAAATGTAAATCGCTGTTTGAATTCCTTCTTGAATTTTTCCTGTAACAAAAAATATTTTTAACTGTTATGGAGTGCTAACTTAGCTATTAATTAACAATTGTTTGTTAGAAAAGTATTAATTTTACGTATTGCGATTAGATTTTGAGATTGACCGATGAGTCAACTGGAATGGTAAGCGTAGTCAACCCGCGTATCTACAGTACGTTATTACATGCTTTTTAATTAAGAAATAATTACTGTCATAATTTCACTATTTATAAAATTTACTTCGGTATAATTTTCATCGGACTCACATTATTTTATAAACTACTAGCTTTCCCATCGAACTTCGTACCGCCATAAAAACATAGGGGTTGGTGGTGGAAGGGTGAAAATTTAAGGTTGTATGTATTTTTATATGATATATCATAAAAAAATAAAAACAAATAAAATTGTTCAATGAAAAAAAATAAGGGTGGACCACCCTTAACGTTTAGGGGGATGAAAAATAAATATTGTTCGATTCTCAGACCTACTAAATATGCATATAAAATTTCAGGAAAATCGGTCGAGGCGTTTCCGAGTAGTTCAATTACGCACACCGTGACACGAGAATTTTATATATAAGATTACGTTTATTACAAAACCTATCAAGGGCGCGCCGGTTTGTCTTACTGGTGGGACTACGGACCTTTGAACGCATAAAGACAGTGAAAATCAGATCAGCCGTGCTATTCTGTAAGAAGTAAGAACTCACTTTTCACTGCGGAATCTGCGTGTGATTTGAACTTAGAATACAAATTTCAAATCCCATCGCGGATTCCGTGGTGAAAAGTGAATTGATTCTTACGGAATAGCACGGCTCATTTAAAACCTTCACAATTCCGGGAAACATTCCACACGAGTGATTACTAATAAAGTGCCATATAAAACCTCACTAGTGGGATGCAGATATTAGGTATACCTATTCCTTATTCCTATTAAAGCCTCCGTCATGGAAGCCCCATAAATTATTGCGCAGCTCGCCTTACACGCCCATGCTCGGTCGGGCGGAACTATCATTTGTGTTGTCGTATTTAGGTCGCTAAATGCGACGTACTCGTACATTCATTGACTTGAGTCGAGAGCATCTTTTCACTGTTGAATATCTCGTGAAATGAAAGGCTTCGTGGAAGAAGAAAATGATACGAAAGAAGGCTCGGGGTTGACGAATAACTTTGTTGTCCCCACTGCTGGGGCAAAGGCTCGCGAGTCCAGTACGGATTGGCGGAATCTATTTGTCAGATTAATGTCTTAAGGTTCCTTCTGAAGCATAGAGGAGCTCGAGATAGTAATTTTTTGGTCAGCCATATTATGACCGGCTTTCACGTTCGCAGATCGAATACTGAATCACTTCATCATAGAGCCTATTTTTTTTTTTTTATTTTTTTTTTTGTTTCCTCCCAGGCGGGGGAGAGGGTGAGAAATCCTCATGGATACCCTACAGCCGGCTGTAAGGTTATGTCAGACTCTTACTGACTAAAAAACACCCTTAATTCATGCTTATGGCCAGAAGGGCCTTACAAGCTTCATCTGAAGCGATCACCCCCCGAGAGGGGGATGATGCGGCGCTGCGTTAGTTTAAACTAGTGCATAGTTTAAAATAACGCAAAATGCGCTTAGAGGACAAGTGCACTCAGATGTGCACTTGAAACGGGAGGGGACTGAGAGGAATCGAACCTCTCTGTGTCGGGGGGGCGGGGGGGACTCACCGCGGGTGTTGGATCCTCAGCGGCCAAGAGGGCCGCGAGATCGCGCGTGAGTTTATTGTGTGTGGCTGTGAGTGCGTGTTTAGGCCTGCGGGGCCTGAATCGAGATGGAGTGTGTGGAGCGTATCCCGACGCCGATCTAATGAGTGTGTTAGAGTGCTCTTCTGCAGCTTTGAAGAACCGTTCGGAGCACTCTGTGAGGTGTGTTTGAATTGTGTCGAGTTGAAGGTCCCTGTGGAGGTCCGCGTTGCGGACGTACCACGGGGCCCCTGTGGCTATGCGGCAGAAGCGATTTTGAAGCACTTGAAGTTTGTTCAAAATCGCTTCGTCCGCGTGTGCGAACACTGGTGACGCGTAAGTGAGGACCGGGCGTATGCAAACTTTGTAAAGCGTTCGCTTGTTACGAAGTGACATTTTGCTGTATTTACCGAGCATCGGGTGGAGGCGGCTCATATAAAAGCGCGCGTTCGCGACTACGCGTGTGATGTGTGCACGGAAGGTGAGTTTTTTGTCTAGTGTGATCCCTAGGTATTTGACTGTGCGGTGCCACGGTATTGCTATGCCTTGCATTCGCAGAGACCGCGCACCGTGTTGTATGGTTTTGGTGCGGCGCTTGGGATCGAAGCAAATGGCCGAACTTTTGTCCGGATTTACGTCGATTCTCCAATCGCGGAACCAATTCCCAAGTGTTGTGATTGCCGGTTGGAGCTTGGCTATGATTTGATTGGTACTGGCTCCCCTAGAGTAGAGGGCCGTGTCGTCCGCGAAGAGAGCGAGCTCGACACCCTTGGTCTGAGGGATGTCATTGGTGTACGCTGTGTATAGCAGGGGGGAGAGAGCGGACCCCTGCGGTACACCGGCTCGTAGTGGGCGGGGCGTTGATAGTGAACCTTCGTATCTATAGCGGAAGGTGCGGTTTGATAGAAAAGAGGCTACTAACCTAACTAGGCGGTCAGGTAACTCTAATTGATATAATTTAAAGATTAAACCGTCGTGCCAAACCTTGTCGAAGGCTTTGGCGACGTCGAAGAAGACTGCAATAGTTTTATATTTATTAAGTTGGAAGCCGCTTAGGGCGTGCTCCACTATGCGATGGATCTGTTGGGGGCAGGAGTGTTTGGCTCTGAAGCCGAATTGGTGGTCAATGATAATAGGATCGGATGGTGATAGGAGGTGCTCTCTTAGTCTGGTCAGTATGGTTTTTTCGAAAAGTTTCGCCATTGCCTTGAGGAGGCTAATAGGGCGATGGCTACTGGGGAGGTGCGCGGGTTTCCCGGGTTTGGGGATGCCTATCACTATTGCTTCTTTCCAGGCGGCTGGGAAGTAGCACAGATCAAAACATGCGTTAAAGAGAATTGCAAGCAAGGTTAGCATTTGGATGGGAAAGTGCTTGAGCGCCTTGTTAGAGATGCCGTCGGCGCCCGGGGCCTTGCGTTGCTTAAAGTTTCTAATGGTCTGTCTGAGTTCGTCTGTCGTGACGGGGTCTAGGGGGTTGTCAATGAGTGGAAGGGCGGCCCGCCGGCGGACCTCCTCCTCCACTCCGCGAATATGTTGCGGGTTAGTTTCCTGCGTACTAGGCGTGCATTGCGCCGCTATGCTGTCTGCAAAACACTCAGATTTTTCGTCGTCTTCGAAGGCGACGGTGCCGTCGGGGCGAGTGAGCGGGGGGGTGTGAGTGGTGACGTCGCTACGGAGCGCTTTCGCGATTCTATAGTACGCAAGATGGGATGGGGTGATGTCCGCCATGAGTTCCTCCCAACGGGAGTGTCTCAGAGCGGCTAATTGGGACCTAACTTGTCGCTGAAGGCGATTAGCTGTAGCCCTATACTCGGGGGTGGGGTATAATTTGGCTCTCCGGAGAGCGGCGTTTTTGGCTTGGATTAGGTTCCGGATGGCCAGCGGGAGCTTGGGCTTTGGCAGCTCAACCTCCCGCGAGTTCTCCTTCGCCTTCTCGGTCACCAGTAAAGTTAAAGACTCTATAGTTTCGTCAATCTTGTCGGTGCTGTCGAGACTGTCCGGTGAGTTAGGGAACGGGGACTCGGGGGAGTCTAAAGCGGTCTCGAGAGCGGAGCGGTATCCGTCCCAGTTGGTGAATAGCCTCTTAGGGGGCGCGGGGGCGTCTAGTGGGTCTTGGGGACCTAGAACTAGAGACACCGGTCTGTGATCTGACCCCAGGTCGTCGAGTGTTTCGATCGAGCTGAGGCGAAGCGACACGTTTTTAAGGATCGCGAAGTCCAGGACGTCGGGTCGGTTTTGTACATTGTCTGGGTAGTGGGTGGGCGCGTAGGGACATATGACATCATAGCCAAGCTCCTCGGTGATGTGTAGTAATCTGCGGCCAGAGGTGGTGGTGGTCTCGCATGTCCAGTCGGTGTGTTTGGAGTTAAAGTCACCGAACATTATGACTGATGTACCTAGTGAAGTGAGTGTTTCGAAGTCTGCGCGGTGAGGGTGTGTACCTGATCTAATGTAGACTGAGGCGATGATTAAGGACTGGTGTCCTGTCATCGCCAGCCTACAGATGGTGGCTTCCATGTTTGTGAGCGCGGGAGTGGGTATAGGTGTGCAGTGTAAATTGCGTCTATAGTAAATTGCGGTGCCGCCGCGCGCGTTGGCACCGTCGTTCCGGATTAATTTATACTTAGGGATCGACAGCCCCTTCATTTGAGTTGGTTTGAGCCAAGTCTCCTGAAGGAGCAGAAAGTCGGGTTCCCTATCTTGCAAAAATAATTTAATTTCGTTAAGGTTGGACTTTAAGCTGCGCGTATTAAATGACACAAGCGAAGCGCCTTTCGGCTTGGTACGCCCGGGGTTTAGTTGAGTGATTGTTATGTTAGTGTTTTGCGCGGTCATAATTTAAACAACAGTGGTGTTTGTTTGAGTTATCACCGCGTGTTTTGTGTATAGTGTTTTTGTTTGTGTTCGGAGTCTGGTTATTTTCCAGTGTTATAATGATTGAAAAATTAATCGAACGCGGCAACGAGTTCGGGGTGTTCGGCTATAGCTATAGCCTATTGTAAAATATCTATAATTATATCGACTTATAATCTGATTTGAGGAGCTTGATGGTGCAAGTGATTAGCGCATTCGGCTGCGATCGTCGAAAGCAATTTTCGCAGTAGTCGGTCATTGGATGGGTGCATCTGCAGTTATTAGCACCCACCAATCCGCACTTGGCTCGCGTGGTGGGTCATGACCCAATATCTCGATTCCATCCATAGGGAAGGCCTGTGTGCCCCTTTAGTGGGAACATTAATAGACTGATGACAATAATCCAATTTGAAGTGCTTTATAATTATTATTTGAAAAACA